TATCCTAGAATTGAATTATGGATTGACGCTAAAGAAGGGGGAAGGGGTGTCTGAGCTTAATATCAATTTGATGTTAAGCACACCAAAATAAAAATAGCGTCTCCCCTAACCTTGGTCACAATGTCGAGTTATTTGCATGTAAAGTATCCGAAGCCCTATTCATGCATGTTGTGATTCGTATATACCAATTGGTAAGGGTCACTTGCAATGGACTAGGGGTGCCGCAAATACCGATCTTTTCTCTTGCGATACTGTGCAGAGGACAGAATAGTAAAGCCTCCTTCATTCTGCGGTCTGCGTCAATTCACCAATAAAAAACAGGCTAGATGGCACCGTCCTGACACGGTATGCTCAAAATCCAACTATGTACTTTCGGCAAATGTGGTCCCAAAACAACACATTTAGTGCACACATTGACACATTTTCAACCGTGTACCCTCAAACAAGTGTGTAGACTACACGGTTTCCTAGGGTACACGGTTGAAAATGTGTCAATGTGTGCACTAACTGTGTTGTTTTGGGACCACATTTGCCGAAAGTACATAGTTGGATTTTGAGCAGACCATGTCAGGACTGTGTCATCTGGCCTGTTTTTTTACTAGTGATTTATGCCGTGCCACAGACCATTGGACGTCACCCTGTTTCCCGCAGCATCTCATCTTTTGGCAGTGTGCCCCTCGTTGCATCGGGGTGCGGACGCATCACAGGCCATTCCCACGAGGCACGGGTTCCCCGGGTCGCGGCTGGTGTGCCGCGCACCGGATGAGTGGAACGTTCTCTTACACGTGCAGCGGCTTGCGGCAACGTCCGCTCGATTGGCGATTCCCATAGGGCGGTACAGCGCAACGCAGCGGAGTGCCGCGTGCACTAAGCGGCAGTACAGACTGCCCTGCTGTCGTATTCACACACACCCAGGAGGCCACCAACTCGTCGTTATCCAATCTTGACATCCGGCCATCCAACAAGGCACACGCCGTTTTCGCCAATGTCAATCAGCCAATCGACATTGTTGATGGGATTATGGGCACCCGCGATTGCCTTGGGGCCCGTCATCGCATCGCCAGCTGCATCGCGCAATCCGCGGTACCCGATTACGCAACGACAACGGCAGCGGCTCGCGCGGTGTTGATACTCTACTGTCACTGCTGTGGCATCCCGCGCGGCTCCTGGTGGACGCCTGTGCGGTCGCGGCACAAAAGACGAGGGCACCATGGAAAGCCTGTGCGCCGACCTCCTCTCCTGTCATGTCCCGGAGGCGGCCGGACCCCCTGTTTGGCTGTGGCTGGTTGTCCAATTCTTTGATGGAGGGGCACTGATGTCACGGCAGCGTGGTTGGCGGAGTTGATAACGTGAGGTTTTGCTGGCGACGTTTGCCAACCCGCTCGCCAGATCACCAAGGATGCAGGAAGGCCGACAACTTGACGGTGTGCTGCGCGCATCCGCTCCACAATGGAGCCTCTGAGTTGTGCTGCTGTTCACGTACATATCGTGCAGCTCGTGGACTGTCTCAACTGTACCCTTGGCTAGATCCCAGTGACGACGCGGCTTTGGACCATGCAAAGCCGATCTTGCCGGGCTGCAACTGTTGCAGTGTTTGTTCCCAAACGTTCGTGATTCCCACAAGGCACTGGTCCCTTGTAATTGCCGTGAATTCACCAAGTGCACAAATGTGCCATCTCCTTGCCTCTGTCTAGCGTGGGTGCCTGAACCCTACTCCTATGCAACTGCCTGCCAGTGTATACCGCCACATGTGCAGGCCACAATTCAACGTGTTTGGCCAGCTAGAGGAGTGCATCTCAAAAGAGGAGGAAGTTGTGGCACAATATGCATAACTTCCATGCCACGAGCTTGGTCCTGCCTTCCATGAAACAAAAGACGATTCAAAAGTATCAGATTGTGCCACGAAAAGTACACAGCTCTGACCGTCCCAGAGCATGGCTGCACCTCTGGTTGGGCTGATTCAGCTGACGCTGTGCTGCATTCCTTGATCTGGCAATTCCAAACAAGCCGTAGCCCTGATATACCCAGAAGAGCGAAAACACAGTTTGTTAGCCCATATTGCACTGCAGCCGTTCTGAACTTGCATGGTTGTTGGGTTACAATCTGCTAGGCACCATATACCTGTGCAGTGTCACATGTGCTACATTTGCAAGGGCAACAAGCCAGCTGACTCACTGAAAGGCGCAGGCAGCAAGCAGCTTTTCTCACACTATGATTCCCAACATCACGTGTGCAAAATGCTGTGAGTCAAAACCGGGGAGGTTCTTGCTTCACAACCTGCTTCATATGCGAAGCATTCCTCCTTTGCACATGCCTCACACATCCCAATGAGAATAGGCCAGCTTCTGTCACTGCCAAACAATGTCATGTAAGAAGCCTTTCTGCACTCATGCTGTCCAATTGCTGTAGTGCAGTCTGGTGAGGTAGTCAGCAGCGACTGAGGGTGCCTTCTGTGAAAATGCTTGCTCGCGCTGTGGGTTCTACAAGCTATTGTGCAGGACACTACGTACTGGTGGGGGGTGTTCTTGCAGTTTGAACCCACTCTGCTGGGTGCACAAATGAAATTCGACATCTTGTTGAGGTCACAACAGAATTGACCCCAGCTGACCCAACAATGGGCTGTGTCAGTGGAAAATGTCCAACACAGTCCTGACCAGCTCCTGACAAGCTGACAGTATTTTTCTGCTCTGCGAGTTGCTTGCAGCTTTCCCATGGCCAAATGCTAGCCTGGTGCTTCTCCCTTTATGGCGGCACCAGTTGGACCTACTACTTTACTGCAAAGCAGCCCAGAGGGACCCAAATCTAGGTGAGCACACCTTGGGCGAACGTGTGCAAGTTAGGGTCAGTTGTAGCAATGCAGAATTTGGAGCTTGAAAACAATAGAATCCTACTGGCCTGAGTTTTACCCATTATACCGCTCTTGAGTGTCCTTCGATCTGCCGATATGTGCTGGCCTTTGGTCATAGAGAATCTCCACAGTGTGCTGGACTTGCAACCAAGATGGACATCGGCTGATGTGGACCCAGTTAACTCCTTGTGGTTGCTGCTGCCTATACATATTGCTCCTGGGAACAACAGCGATAAGCAGACAAGTGCATGAGCGGAATGGAGGTCAGCATGTGACCCCTGAACACATTCCAGTTCTTGGGCTGCTGGTGCTAGGTCGCTACCACACGAGTGTGCTGCACATTCAGTACAGAAACCACCACATCCAGTGCCAAATTTACTCAGGTGCTGCTTTGCTGCACAGAAATATGAGACGGCTTGCATTTTGATCGAAAGCCACAACCAGCCGGTTTTGTGGCAACGACTGTATGCAAGTGTGACACTCATGAGAACCGACCGTCGGTATGAGGCAATAGGTTCCAAGTGAACACTGCAGCAACAGTCATGTTGCTGTCCATTGCATGTCCAATAGTGTCTGCAGAGGCTGCAAAACTAGTTTTGCGTCTTCTGGCATGATGTGAAGCTGGGAACCAACAGCATTCAAGACAAGAGCTTCCCAGCGGCTGCGAACATGCTTGAAAATGTGTTCGGCGCTGGTGAACAGGTCTCTGACCAGCAGATTGACCAGGCATATGGGGCAAACGTGGTGTAATCCAACCACCAGTGAACTCGGTGGGAACCTGGTTAAATGGCATTGTTACATCCAACACACCATCATTGTGGCACAACGGTGCTAAATAAACTGCAGAGCCCTTTCTCAGTTTATTTTTCATCAGATTTCGGCAGACTGCTTCCAGTAGGCCACCAGCCTCTGCAGACCTGTGCCTGTCATATGAGACTCCAAAACCTCCACCAAGATCCATGAAATATGATACAAAGCTCTGTCCATATCCACACCAACTCCCCCTCCTGGAACGAGAGTCATTGTTTAAGGTCATTGCAGACCCCTAAGAACTATTGTTTGCTGATGAATTGAACTCAGTAGGGACACGTGCCATGACCACTGCGTCGTTTCCCCATTTCTAAATTGAAAATTTTCGTTCAAGCCTGGCCCGCCTTGCATTTCAGAACAGTCCTCGGCATCAATATGTCAGAGAAATCTGCAGTCCACATTCTGGAACCAATATTCTGAAACAGCCAGTGTTGTGAATTTTCAATCTCATGCATGCTTTGCACTGGGTTCATTGGCAAGCCTGTGGCAAACTCTTCGTATTGCTGTCACGCCACCCTGCCCTAATCTAGACAGCACACATCCCTGGTGCTCGTACAATGGAGGTGAGAAACATGATCTTGTACTTGGGACTTAATTATCAAGCAGTCATCAAGTAACGCCACTGGTATGGCCACCAGTTGTCTACACCCTGCCATGCTGCCTGCTAGTTCCCTTGCGTGGATGCCACCCAGACCGATCTTGTACCTGGAACAATCCTGCATGCATGGCAGTTCTTCTAATGGCCATGGTGTTGGTGCATCGTGAGCTGCACATGGGGTCGTCACAAGGTGCCCACATGGGGTCGTCACAAGGTGCCCAGTGTCCATCAACCCAAACAACCTGCAAGTCGATCTGTCAATGCATTGTATAACCTTGTACTTGAACTTCGTTTCACCATGGCCAGTACTAGGCAGTGGTTTGTGGTTGGAATCATTCTAATACTCCCCAGCACCCGAACATTTCACCCTGGCCACTATTGGGCAGTGGCTGGAATCATTCTGATACTCCCCAGCACCTGAGCAATCGTTCTGGCCTCAAAATTGGCAATCATATGTGACTCGGCCGTTGGTGTCACCAGTGGCTGACAGTCCCTGCTATCGAGGGTCGCTCACACTGGAAGCTGCAGCTGTCACATTGCCTATTTGCCAGAAGCACGATGTATCCCTATCCCTCTGGACCCGATGTCCCAGAACCTTGTGCTTGGCCATCATGATCACATTTGCTTCAGGGCGTACACCTCGTGGCAACTCGGATGCCAGAGGCCACACCACGAACAACATCGGCGAGGCGAGGCTGTGGCCTCTGGCGTCCATCTGTTAACTGATCGCGCATGTCAGTGCCATTAATTTGCGCTGGGCCTGACGTCCATGGGCTCGCCAGAATCACCCCCTGTTTGCCTCTGCTGGGACTGCTGCAAGCAGTCCTTCAGGATTGCATTCTCGTTCGTCAGCTGGGCGTTCTCCACTTCCAGAGATCGTACCTGGGGAATAGAAAAGGCGATACAAGTTCAGCGGGGGGAACATTGACACGCGCAACACAGACACCAAGGCTTCCGACCCTGCAAAGGACATCGAGCGGAGAAGGCTGCCGCCCAGAAGGCTTCCTGCCGACGTGGCTTATGGCTCATGCGCTCGGAGCGTGCGCAGCGAGCAGCACGCAGCTTGGGTGGTGAGACACGAAAGCGACAAGCGCAATGTACTAGGGGCGATGTCTTTGAGAAGCGCCGGCAGCGGACGCGCCCGAAAGGAGCCCCAAGGGGTACTTGTGGCCTGCATGTGGTTCCCGTCGGATCCGGGTTTTTGTCCGCCCGTACGGACGCGACTGACATCGCCGCAGGCGCACCCCAAACGACACCATCGATGACAAACCAGGGTTGGCAAAACTGCGCCGCCGCCAATGACAAGCCGGCCCAGTACTCCCGGGCGGCGCGAGGGCACCCATGGACCCCCCGCCGGGTCCATCAGTCACCCCCCGCGTCCTCGCCGCGCCGCCCGACATGGCGGCACATCTTCGCCGCGGGTGAGCCCCCGCGGCCCGCCACTCACCGAGGCGCTCAGGCTGACCGTCTCGCCCTCCAGCGCGGCTATCCGCCGCTTCTGCTTCTCCCGGAACGTCTTCTGCGCGCGGCGGTTGCGCTCCTTGCGGCGCTCATCGCGCGCGACGTCCTCCTTGAAACCCGGAAAACCGGCGGACCAGGACGCCCGGCGACCGCGCTTCCTGGTCAGGCGGCCGCCCGCGTCCTCTGGGGCGGGATCCGGCGCGGTCAGGCAGCTCGCCTCGCCCACATTGGCATCCATGGACTCCCCGCTGCGCCAGAAAGAGATCCCTTTAGACAGTCGGCGCCACCGGCAGAGGCTAAGGATGGCGGCTGGCGGCCACGGGCGCGCCAAAGGCCGCCATTGAGTAGTAGAGCCGAGCAACACGCCTCAAAAGGGGCCCGTTCTCTGGTGGGGTACTCTCGCAGGCCCCGGCAGGCCGCAATGCGCGCCCAGAACGTTCCCACAGGGCGCAGAAAAGAGAGGATGGGAGGAATCCGCCCACCGTCGCTGTGACAGCCGCTCGGGCGCCCCCTATGAAACCAACCCTCACCTGCACTTGGGGAAGCCACTGTCCAGGATCCCGCGGCCATGCAACTCGGCCAGCGTGTCCGCGCGCTCCTCGCTGACGGCCTCCTCCTCCGGCCCTTCCTCCGGCCGCCACGCCCACTGCCACCTCGGCATTGCATCGGCCCGCTCGGTCGTCAGCAGCACGACCCCCGGGGTTGGCTTGCAGGACGACCCGCCGATCAGCACCGTCCCGGCCGCGACATCGCCGGCGCCATCCGCCGGAGATGGGCATTCAACCTCCGGCTGATGCGCTGGGACAGTGGGCATGAACGGCAGGACGAACATCTGGCCACAGGCCGGGGAGGCCACCAATCCGGCGAGATGGGCAGATCCCGATTGGGCGGAGGGGAGCAGCGCGATCTTGAGGCCCGCGTCTCCGGATGCCAGGAACGGCAAGTTGAGAGCCGCGCCGGCGCTCGCGCATTCGGCCATGGCGAAGGGGCTGCGGCGGCGGGCCTCGCGCTGATGACCTTAGGTCGGGGAGGGTGGGAACGGACGAGGGGGCGGAGGGGCGAGCCACTCAGGGTGAGCAGAGTGCGGCGAACGGGCACTGGCTTATGTGCGCTGGCTTGTACGCTTTGCCTTATATGCGTCACCGGCGGCGTGACATATCTGACTGAACGGTAGCTGCGCTGGCGCTGCGCGGAGATCGGGTACGACCGGGCGCGGCGCTGGTCGGGCCGGCCACCGGGGCGGTGTGCAGGGGCCGCCTGGGGCACATCGAACCTGCGGGCTCACGTTGCTGTCGGGGAAGCTGACCCATCGTGCGCAATTCGAGGGATTCTCTCCTTGGGCGTCAAGGAGGCAAGTCTCGCGGTAGAAATTGCACCCTTGCGAAGGCGCCGAATCCAGTACCAATAGCGTATCATATCTCGGCGGACCCACATCACGTCGAATCACACATCAGTACATCACGTGCCAAACACGTGCCAATAAATCATGCACCAGCACCACGTCAGTAGGCCGCGTGCCAGTCGCGTATCACTCAGCGCAGTTCGATGGTCCTTGGATGCCTGCTCTGACGGGTTCCCGCACCCACTCTTGTCACAGGCATCCCTGCGCCCTGGGGCTGTATCGCAATCCATCAGCCTGATAACTCGTTCCTGAGGAATGCGGTCCTCCCTAGGTGGCTCACAGCAGCGTCGCCCAATCTGTCAGCGTTTCCAGAGAGGTTGGGCACAAGTCCACGGGCCGGCGATCCCCACCGGCTGCTCAGGGCCACGGTTCTCGCGACTCATGGCTTACAACGCAGTCCTCTGATCGAAGGCCTCAGATCCAAGGACCACGCCGTGAGCTATGAGACTCACGAGCCCCTGTGGCCCGGTGCACTGCGAAGATCCTCCGTACAAAAGCGAATGACTACTCTTGTAATTGCGCGTGAGAGACGACTCTTACGATTGATGGCGCAGCGCCTGAACCTTAGCGAAGAGTTGCAAGACGCTCCCTAGAAGCACAAGACGGCTGTCGCGACTTGCAACTCACGAGTCATGATGTGGCGTCCAGATGTATGAGACCGGTTCGCTGCAAACACCTCTCTGGCATGCGAGAGGCACTTGCCTTTGTGCCCTAGTCCCTTCCCGCGCCTTTGGTGGCTTTTGCAAGATGGTTAGTTGCTGTTGCCTGTTGCCAATCCTCGGCACCTGCTAAATGCGATCATCTAAAACTGTGTCGTTCGAATGCCCTGCTGCATTTTCCCGTGCAACGCATTTCCAGTCAATCACCCGATTGATTCCGGAATCCTCCAGGCACTGTTTTTGTTGCTCATATTCGGCAGGCGCATCCAACGCCATGTACTCATCTCCCCAAGATTGCCTTTTAGATTCTTCCCAACGTCATGTCGCCGCGATGTCATCATCCATTGTGTTGGCAATGGCAACTCTCAGGCTGTCCTAACTGCATTCTTGCGTTGCATCCAACGCCACCAGTCTGATCACTCGTCGCCGGCCGTCTCTTGCCTCGCTGCGCATCCGCTTTGCTTGGTGATGAACAACGCACTGTGATTGGCTGGTTTGCTCTACTTCATGTGATCTATTTCGTAAGTGTTCATTAATTTTAACCAATCAAATCCAATTTCGAGTTTGGCATGGTGTCATACTCCAGCCAGCCAACCGTTTTGTGTCGAAAGTACTAAAAGCTCATTGATGAGGTTGAGTGGCCTGATAATAGAGCAGATAACTTTTACACAGTAGCAGCGCAGATGAGGACGCAATAGCCCCGCCATATTGGCCAGTGCCCAAAGCACCGTGGATAAACATTACTAATAAAGTTTGTTCAGCTGCCGATCTGTTAAGCGCGCTTGGAATGGACAAACGAGCAATCTGGCTACGGAGCGTTGCAACACATTCCACTGACAAAGCACTGATTATCTCACATAATCTTGACTCTGATGATGAATTGTCTTGACATGGCACCAAGCCGTGTTATTCAAGTGCAAACCATGTTGTAATGGGAATTAATCGTGTCGCGTCAACCGTGTTCTTGGCGGCATTCTTCCTGCTTGTGCTCAATTAGAGATTCATAAATTCTGGCGTCAGTGCTGTGACTCCGCTGTATCGAATGTTCACTGCGATATTGCACAGGGCCACCGCCATCATCAAGCGACGAAATGGCAATGCCTCAGGCTGCGATTGGATCGATGCGAAAACAGAACAATATGGAGTGAAGATCTTCAAATCGAACATCTGACTGGGGCCGCATGCGCATTTCACATTGAAGCCATGGGCTCCGTCGGTCAATGAGGCGCCAAAGAATTTTGGAGGCAAGCACGGTACTGGCACAGTGCTTTGAAGCGGGCAGCATTGCTTTAATGGCTTTAGTGGCCCAATACTTTGATGGCTGCACTGCTTCTATCATGGATGAGAGGTAGGGGTGGGCGCCGAGTGTAAAGTACTATTGATTGATCGAATCTAAGAAACACTATTTGATGCACCAACCTTGGAGATTTAGTTGACGAGAAATTACCACTAACGGTACAAGTTATGTCAATCGCAGTCAAAATGGTATCCAGACGATAGTGAGAATGTCTGTCGATAGCGCTTATGGCAATGTATTCCAACAGTTCAACGAGAGTGAGCTAATGTCCAATGGATTTTCGATTCTGCTTGCATCGAGCTCAGCGTCAACGTTTCTGGTAGGCACAATCGTGCGTGCACCTACCCGCGCAGAATGCAACGTCAGCGCTTCGTCGTTGGGGACCGATTGCGAATGCATATGGGGCCGACTTGCCCCTGTCAGCGCCGTGGTGTGCGAGTTGTGCGTCGCGCGGGACGTGTCAGGTGTATCTCCAGGATATGCGAATATTTTCCCGTGCGGACAAAGTTTGGATGAATGGCAGAAATGGTATTCGTACAGAAACGGATCGCAGAGTTGCGCGGCCCTCTGCCACCTGTGGTGCGGCAAAAGGGATGCATGTTGCATTTGCGCAAAAAGGGGTAAAAACATGTGAACACAGCGTAATTACAGCCCTGTGTACATGAGGACGGTACATACAGACTCAGGGGCTTCGCGAAGTGGCAGCCAGCCGCCCTAGAATGGGCGCAGAAGCGAAATTTTGTTCCACGCCATCGTTGCTCTTGCTGAGGGCGAGGTGGACGCTGAGCTGTGGATGCTCGAGGGGCGGGAAGGCAGATTATTGCACGCAATTTTCACTGTCTGACCTGGGTGCCACAACAAGTGGTAGAAACGTACATACAGCCGCAAAAATAGCCCGTTTTGCAAATTGACATTTATACGCGTCAAAATGCAGACACAAAAACGCGCAAAGAACGTAAATGTAAGTGTAAAAAACAGGCCTGTTTGTACATGTGATGGCCTGTCATCTTCCTGCAAGTGGGCAGTTGTGAAGACAATTTCATGCGCTTTCAAACCCGTACGACAGGAAACACGATGGAATTGGTCCACAGGATCAACTCCTCAAGATTTGAGGTGTTACAGAGAGTTGTCAATTTATTTCCAATGAGGTTCACCGCTAGCTGACAATCAGCCATACCCCAAGCTTTGACACATTCCAGTGCCATTTCTAGCAAAGACCGAATGCAAATCTAACCCATCAGTGCCAGGCCCCCGTACTTTGTTTCAATGCTGCTTATCAGGACACTGTCCCAATCGGGCACGTGGCACTCCTAAACTACTCTTGTCGACTTGCCAATGTTCTTGAAGCACCAAACACCTTATAGTGCCCTGCGGTTTCCTCGCATTCACACAGATTCTAGTTGGAGAGATTTAGACCTACTCTAGAGCGGGGAAAGGCTGTTCTCCTGTCGTTCAATGTTGTCCATCAATTTTCGGCCCCCCTTCACTTCTGCTTGCACGATCGCGACAAGGACCGCGATGCGTTACTCTCTTGATGCGCTGGCAACCCTAGCCGGCCTCTGCTGTGGCTTGACGGGACCTGTGCGTGCGACATGTATTGACCACCGCATGGACATCCCCCCCACTTTACTCAAATCTGTCTACTTGCTTGACATCTTCCAAACGTTTTTTTGCGACTTCTCGAGCTACGGCGATCATGTCTCATCCATGGGCGCATTATTAACCCCTGTTCTCCGCTATCCCCGATATTTTTGCCATCCACCAGGACATGTTTTGGCAAGCTCGCCATGTTGCACTCGATCTTCGTTTCACCCGCGGCCGCTGGCCTCTCGGCATAGCATGAGAGTGCACCTCCACTAATCACTGCCATGTACAAACGTCCACTGCGTTGAGCCTGACCGACAAACTCTGAACTACACAACAGTGAAGTTTCGCACGAGCGATGAAACGCGCGTCGCTCCCAGAACCCCCGCGCATGGCGTGCACCACACTCCCATTGCGCTCAAAGACCAATAGGCCTGTTCGCTTCCACCCTTGCACTTGAGCAGACCACTCTATGTTCTTCTCGCTGACTCCTACGTGCTTCCCCTTTCTTCGTTTTTTGGTTGAATACAGACACGCCACCTCTCCATGTCCCATCTCATTCGTCCCCCGCAGTTGGCCCGCAGCGCAGTTCCAAGAAAATGCTCGCGGAGATCCACAGCCCCGTCAACATTGGTCATGTCTTCTCCTCTACCTACACGCCGCAATGAAGACGCCCGTGTCAGGTACTGGCCGTATGCCTTGTTATTTGCAGCGTGCGGCATATCGCGTGCCACAGTGGCCACATCGTTTTGCTGCGTTGTGCTTGCTGGTCATACGGCCGCGCTGCCAAACGGGGCGACGTTCCTGATGTTAGAAGCAGACGAAGGTGAGCTCCGCCGTTGCAGTCACGCAGTGGCGCATGGCAACATTCGTGCACTTCACAGACGCAA